TTATTCATTCCATTTGGTCCATACGCTGACCGTGTTGTCTTGGCGAGTTCTCGACATGCATCTATGTTTTTATATACAGCTTCTTCTAATCCTTGGTAGTGCTGTGGAAATAATACAATGTTCAGTTTATTTAGCAGTCTGTTCTTTCCATGACAAGTAAATTGTAAATTATCAGTAAACCTGGCAAGATAACGCACATACATTTGGGCTCTCAATTTGGGCTCTCATGAAAACTTGCAATTTTTAAAGTACCAGCCGAGTAAGTATCATTGTCAAACAATTTTAACTTGTTCTTCGTTGTAGTTACATATGAAATGCAATGTAGCAACATCGATATCAGCTTACCATTACAGACTATTATATTATATAACACATCACTTGTTAATACTGTACTGTAATTGGTCAAAACAGGATCATGTGTTATCGGCTAAATTATCATAGTAGCGCCAGGGAAATTACTAGTTCCCTAGGGAGACTAGTACATCAACTAGTGCCCGGGGATGACGTTACTCGTCACCTGATCGTGTGATTTCCAATATGTCGTCTGCTAGTTCGGTTGCTGATATCGATGGCCCGCCTCGAAAAGACTGGACGATTTAGCTTCAATTCAGAAGAACTTGACACACTAGTAGAAAATAAAGATGCACCGAAGACGAAGGACGCAATCAGGTTTTCTAGAAGCATCTTTACATCGTTTTGTGCGGCCTTGTGAAATAGCAGGTATTGTTGGTACCCCACAACCCCTTGGGGAAATAGACGTATACTAGTGCCCTCATGGCCATGCAATATGTGCTTAATAGTCATCAGTATTGCTATTTTATCTGCAAACAAGTTGCATACAAGTTGCGTAATTACAGTACTGTCGGATATAATAAAAATTTTACTAGATCGACGCGCGGGGCACGAAAGAAAAAGGTTGCTAAGGTAACGCGCCAGTTCAGTGCGTGACTTGGGGTCAAACTTCGACCAACACACACTTGATGTCAGCATCGCCGCGCAGCAAGTTTCGCAAAGAAGTACTTAAGTTCAATTGCGTCCCAAAATGATGTCGCTAATCACTCAGTTGTCGCAGCGTGTGTTGTGTCATGTCCATGATGCACCCCGTTTTGACTTTGACTTGCTTTTCCTTCTTAGTGCATGTTCTTGTTCACGTAAAATTCGACCTCTCACCAATGCATTAAAACACTTTGAATTTATACTTTGCATGATTATATTTGGTCAACGCGAAACATTATTTTTTCTAAACATTTCTATCAACACAGGGTTATTTTTTTAGACAAGATGGGCCTCGTTATATCTGCCAAAAGATCGCCCGGACGATCTTTTGGTCCACATTTTTCTAAAAAAAATCGAATCCTCCATAAGATCGCCCAGGGCTGGGTATCAGCCGAATCCGGTAATAGAATAATGGCGGACACACGGTCGATGCAACCCTGTGGACCAGCGACGAAAAAGCCCTGTACTAAGCTTTCCATCACGGAAATTCGTAATCGATGTGCTGACCGATGGATATTTATCGACTAAGTAATAATCTTGCCCAACATCTGTAGTGTCGTGGGAACAATCTTTACCGAACCTAAACTGCTTGCTAACTGAAAGGCTGTGATGACGGAGATCATCTGCGATTGCGGCTACGCCAAGTACTGATAACATAAAAACTCAAACAAAATGTATATTTTTAATGTCTTCATGCAATATATTCTGAGTTATCCACTTTATTCTGGCCCGCGAATTAATAGGATACAATTTTAAACATGTTTTTGAACACCGCGAATTAAAAGGATACATTTAAAAATTAGCGTTCGAAAATAAAATGGGTGCGCGAATTAATAGAGACCGCGAATTAATCAAGTTTTTACGGTATATGGGCAAAAATAATATTAGATCAATAATGATTTGAGTACAGTTTGAACATGACATGCACGTTTCCCCCAAGAAAAACATGTGCTGATTAAGTTGGCTGTATTTAATCTCAGACTACTATAGACAGACTAGCAATACGGTTTTTCCTTTGGTCAGATGGTGCAATTTTGTTTTGGGGCTCAACTTTTTAATCCTGTAAACAACCGATATAACTAACGTTACTATAACACGATGTCTTTTATTATTTCATCAAATAACGCGAGATATTACGAGATGTACACAGGCAGTAAGTAGTATTAGTTGGGTCGTAGTTCATTTTCTTTTTTTCTTGGTTAAATAATCTCCACAAATGCGACAAAACATATGCAAGTTATTGCTGTGTTTATTCTCCATATTTCTGTAATTATGAACCTAACAAGAATAGAGATAACTAAAATTTATGCTCCATTAAAATATCCTACTGAATATTCAATGACTTCAATCGTTTAGTTGCGTGAGCATATCAAGTTTTCAAACGCATTATCCACAAAAACTACACTGTCGACGCCAACACCGCCATTTGATTTTTATAGAAACTATTTCACATATTCTGGGAAATTTCAAAATAATGAGAAATACTACTATAAAGTTGCTCATTATATATTCATAAATGTTGTAGACGAAAGTAGGAGATATTAAAAATGCCGTTACTAACTTAAAAATTGTCGACCAAAAAGACAAGACAGATTTCATTTGCAGTTAGATCGAAAAGTATGCACCTGTGTGTTTGGCACTAGAATGACATTACAAAAACACACAAAGTAGGTAAATGTGAGTGCATTTGGAAGTCTTCGATTAACGCGTGTCGAGGCATGCATCCTACGGGCATAACCCTCAATTCACACCTACAACAGTAGGCGTTGTTCGTCTGACTATAGTAGTCTGAGGTACTGGGTATTGCACCTGCCAACCTAGCAGTGGTTTTGCAACGTTTTGGGTTCGGATAGGTTCTAGGCATACTCTGTGATGGCACTGAGAGATGAAGCCTAGGACCAATTTGGACCCCAAAACAGCACAAAACCATGGCCACTGGCTAAACATATTTAGTGTGTACTTTGAATTTGTTGATGGAATTTTAAAGTTCACCGATGAACGTAATTTTGGGTGATAGATTATTCGAGTCATTCATATACAAGTTTTTGTGGAGGGGGCTTTTCTTGATTAGGCAGTTGCACTACTTTTTTTTATTCAGTGTATAGCCACATACAACATATATGCTTGCATTTTACTTGAAAACTGAACAAGAACCAGTTATATACGTTTAAAAAAAATAATTGACCTAATGTTTTCAAATGCGTCAAATTTAGTTTAATTTTACAAGTTAATACACGTTGTCTGTGTTAAGCTAGTCTATATGTGGTGTGAAACCTATAAATTAAAGCCATGTGCAGTGTCATGCACCGTAAATAATCAAATAAGTCGACGAAAAATGAAAGTATTTTGTCGAAATTTGTCCACGTATTAGAGTCAATAATACAAAGAAATAAAATGCTGAAAAATATATTAAAACTCACCTTTGCTCCATCTTTGAGCATTTGCGCAAAACCCGGAGCCTTTGGTACGGAAAGCGCCATTTTGAAGTTTCTAGATATTTCCCAACATGCAAGAGCATAGGTGGCGCTGTTCGTAACCTCTGACAGATCAGTGATTTATTTCTCGACCAATGAGCTTTGCGTTATGCACGAGTACTTGAAACAGCGTTAGCGAATAGAAAAACATTAACAAGCCGCGCGAATTTCTATTTTTTCCAAGGGATTTATGTGTACTTTTGCCAGTGGCAATCGTTTCAATTTTATACGCTGTTTTATTTCAGGTAAGTAATTTTATAAATCAATAGACTTTTTGCTCGCATACTACAAACTGAATTTATATGTGTTTTCTTTTTTCCCGAAAATCAAATATTCCTACATTACGAATCATCGCGGAAATACGGGAATATAAGTGGTGAGAAACATGCACAGTTCATTAAATACATGGTGTACATGCAAAAAAAAGAGATATATTTGTAGACAATCTTCGACACAAATGGCGGCCATCGTTGTGATTGATCGTGCTTATTGAAATGGTTATGCACGCCGCATTTCATTAAAAAGACAAACATACATTTTGTGTGATTATTTAAGACGACCGGAATACCACGTCTCGTACTGTACTGTTATTTTAATATTTAAAGGCCCGTACAAGGTTTATAACACTATAAACAACTTGAACAATAGGATCATCTCTTTCACAAACTCGAGCCATTGTGAAAAGCTCCGGCTTTGGTAATAGATCTACCCTATGCATCAACTATAACTTAGCCCACAGATAGAGGGACTGTGCTTAGCCACTGGATGACACAAATTACCACAACAGTACACGATGTTTATGGTCGAGATTGTGAACGATAACATTAATTTTTGCAGCCACGTTTTCATTTTCTAAGTTTTTAATTTGAAATGGACATGATGAGCAAAGACTGTCAGTGTTGTTATAGCCCGGGGTTATACTGCCGCCATTTTGATTACGTATTCACGTGTTGATAGCAAATCTGCAGACCTCGGACCAATAATACATGTACACTAGTATTTGTCTGAGTACAGACACTTCTCTTCCACTTCTCAAATGTTGAATTTTTGTTATTTAGAAATTCAGTGTTTTAAAGAATTTTTCACTTTTTTTAAAACTTTGAAAAAAATTAAATTGTTTTTGATAGAATCAGCCTGTGATAGAATGTTGTTGACCCAATAAAAATAACTCAAACTAGGCAAGAAAATTTTACAAATGAATTCAATTGAAAACAGCAAATTTAATGCTACATTGCGTTTGCTGGATACTAATCTTGTTGATTAGGAAAATGGTTCACTACTGTGTGCTTTGACACCTTGTCACTGGAGTCAAGTAACCTGTTTGCTACACTCCTCATTACCATTTCAATGATTGTGTGTACTTTGACACCGTACCGCCCGAACGGAAGATGTGCAGTGCACGTAAAACATTTACGTTACATGGTTCCGTTTGCAATGCAGTAAACGACGATCCTGGAACATGGGGATTTAGGAACAAAAAGCAGTCACCATTTAGATTCCCCTATTTCAAAACATAATGGTTGCTTTGATCTTGGTGAAAGCAACACCTCAAATAGCGACCCAGTCTCTTCATTGCATCTACTGTTCAACTGTGTTATTAACACATTGAACAGTAATTTAAAACATGTGATGGGCTCACAGATTGAAATATTGTTTTGCATTGTATTAAATAGGTGATGTTATTATTATTATTTTCAGGTAAAAACTCAATATGAATAGTGAAGAAAGTTCTCGTAGTAGGCACTTGCATATGAGACATGAAAATATTCCAACTAGAAAACAAAGACCTTGCAAAGTATGTGTACAAATGAACACACTCTTATCCTGACTATATACACATGTATCTATTTTTTTTATTTTATTTGTATTGTAAATTTTTTACCACATTATCATAAAGTTTTTTAAACCCTTCTCTAAAAATCCATAATTTATGGATTTTTAGAGAAGGGTTTAAAAAACTTTTCTATACAAAGTGCCTATTTTCAGCAAGTCTCATAAAATATTGATGCAGCATAATAGCTAACTTCTCACTAATTTGCCAACCACTTTGCTTTTGACTGAAGCAGATGACTACAATTTGAATATTACCCGGTATTATTCATTCTTTCACAATCAAATGCGAGTAATATCTGAAAAACAGTATTTTTAGTAAGTAGGTTTTAAAGGACTGAAAAGTAAGCAATATTGTTTGCAATGGTTAGTCACAGAGGACCGTTTGCTATATACATCTTTAATTTCAACCTTAGATTTCTGGCTTCAGTAAATCACTATCTATAAAAAAAAAATATAGTCACAAAGACCTGTGTAGTCTAATCAATGCAACGCCAACTGAACATGTGCAATGCTAGTATTTCAACAGTGTACCCAACCTATTTTAATTGCAGGCTTCACCAAGTGAAATACCAATAATGGTAGGGGATAAAATGGATGTTGATGGGGAGGAAAATAAAACGCACAAGATGGACAATATTGACGCGTAAGTAAATTTGAACATCGATCACACATATCGGTGCATTTATTACCTGTATGTTGGTCGTTCATCATGCTTATGTCACGTATGTCCTCCATGTGTTTTACCACACCCTATTGGAGATTCAATAGATAGATAATTTTTTTTTTTTTTTATTAATGATCTGACATGAGTGATCATAGAAGTGTGTTTATCTGTTTTTTCAGAATTAGGTATTTTGGAGTTTTTGGTTACCAGGTTTCAATCTACCAAGTAATTCTTGAGATATCGGTGAAACAAGATTCAGCTAGCACGTTCATACAGACAGTAGTACATTGTATGACATCGTTAGTGCTCTGCACTCAAGATCCAAAAACGGGACATGCAATCACTCTTTTCTAATTTTTTGTATTGTACTTTATACGCACATAGTATTCTGTTTTAAATTTAATTTTCTGTTTGGTTTTAGAAATGTATTCAATATGGCCACTGATCAAAGCACATGCAGTAAGCGTCCACAAATTGGTGAAGAAAAGACTTTGCCTAAAAAACAAAGAAAAGATACTGCAATGGTGAGTTAATTGCAACTTGTCAATTATCAACAAATATGAGTAGAGACTATGCGACACTACATGTTATACAGAACACAGTCTTAATTCAACTTAACCCTTTGAGTACCGCAATGTGCCAGGCAAAATTTTGGTGGAATATTTTGCTTGTTTTTATGTATTTTTCAATATTTTTTTTTGATAATTCTGGATATAATAGAAATAATTTTCTATTCTAAGTTTTATTCAAAATTTTGGAAAAATTATGTGGGTTTAAAATTTGTGAATAGTGACAAAAGTTGACTTTGGTGCTCAAATGGTTAATGATATGCAAATTACCTAATAATATGCACATACAGTATATAGAACTATTTTGTGAATGTGACAAAAGTTGACTTTGGTGCTCAAATGGTTAATGACATGCAAATTACCTAATTAATATGCACATACAGTATATAGAACTATTTTGTGAATGGTGACAAAAGTTGACTTTGGTGCTCAAATGGTTAATGATGTGCAAATTACCTAATTAATATGCACAGACGGTATATAGAATTATTTTGTGAATGGTGACAAAAGTTGACTATGGTACTCAAATGGTTAATGATATGCAAATTACCTAATTAATATGCACATACAGTATATAGAACTATTTTGTGAATGGTGACAAAAGTTGACTTTGGTGCTCAAATGGTTAATGACATGCAAATTACCTAATTAATATGCACATACAGTATATAGAACTATTTTGTGAATGGTGACAAAAGTTGACTTTGCTTTTCAAATGGTTAATGATATGCAAATTACCTAATTAATATGCACATACAGTATATAGAACTATTTTGTGAATGTGACAAAAGTTGACTTTGGTGCTCAAATGGTTAATGACATGCAAATTACCTAATTAATATGCACAGACGGTATATAGAATTATTTTGTGAATGGTGACAAAAGTTGACTATGGTACTCAAATGGTTAATGATATGCAAATTACCTAATTAATATGCACATACGGTATATAGAACTATTTTGTGAATAGTGACAAAAGTTGACTTTGGTGCTCAAATGGTTAATGATATGCAAATTACCTAATTAATATGCACAGACGGTATATAGAACTATTTTGTGAATGGTGACAAGAGTTAACTTTGGTGCTCAAAGGGTTAATGATATGCAAATTACCTAATTAATATGCACATACAGTATATTTAACTATTTTGTGAATGGTGACAAAAGTTGACTTTGGTGCTCAAATGGTTAATGATATGCAAATTACCTAATTAATATGCACATACGATATATAGAACTATTTTGTGAATGGTGACAAAAGTTAACTTTGGTGCTCAAAGGGTTAATGATATGCAAATTACCTAATTATTATGCACATACGATATATAAAACTATTTTGTGAATGGTGACAAAAGTTGACTATCAATTTATCAATTATGTGCCAATCGTATCTTTAATTTTTTTGTTTGAATGTGATCTTTTCCAACCAGAAGGTTGAATTGCTGGAGGAAAATAAAAATTTTGGTTTTGCGAATTAGGTGGTGTAATTAATAGAAGGCATATGTGATTTTTCAGTATGTTTAACAGGGTGTCCAAACCTATGATTAATTGCAGACATCTTTTGATAAATCACCGATGATGGAAGTTGAATCTGTAGAAATAAATTTACAGAGTGAAGAAAATGAAATTAAACTGGAGGAAAGGGAAACTGAAAGAATAGGTGCAGGACAAGTGTAAGTATTTATCACCCCTTTTCCCACACAACCTTAAAATAAAAAACAAAAATTGCATGAGCGCAACACTGGGGGAGGGGTAACATTTGCGTACAGTTAAACAACAAAAACTGTTATTCTTATTCATTTCTGTACTGAACCACATCAAGATGTACCTTGTACGACCATGCCAGGTGTCATCCTCATTAATGTGGCTATAAGACATCAGAGTGAGCAATCAGTTGTATTCAAATTATTTGGGATCAACATTTTACTTCTTTTTCTCTTGCATGATTACCTGATTTTCCTATTTTTAAACCACTGTCCTTTCTGATGTTTCACAGTCTGCTGTCTCACAATCTTTTTGAGTGATTTTTGGTGGATTTATTTCATGTTTGTTACTAAGGGAACTCATGTACCAAAAAAAATAAAATCCATCAAAAATAATGCATTTTCTGTAGTTTAAATATAACAAATTATTAAAATTAAATTCCAGCTGAATATAAGTCACTCTTATTTATTCTCTACAGCTCAGAGGAAATGTATTAATATATGCTGAGAGTTTTCACATTTTCAAGATATCACTATGTGACATTTAACATCTTCATTGAAACATGCATATGATAAACAAAATTGTGGCGGGCAAGATAATGACTCAGGTGATGTCAGTCCAATGTGACGGTACCACCACGTGTTGCAGAGCACTGCATGTATAGGGTTGAATATAATTATTATGTTTGCTATGTGAATCCCATGTAATATTTCCAAAATTACATCCCAATTACAGCCATAAATTTATATAAATATTTGTTTTCTATTTATCACATGATTGACCCCAAACTGATTTTAAGTGTTTTTTTGGCTGGTTTTCTGAAAATCAGAAATGACAATCAAGGTCATGTTACTGCTACTAACATTTTTTTTTTTTTGTGTGGAATGGTTAGTTCATATACCTGAACTTTGATGCTGCATCAAAAAAAATCAGATTCACATACCCTCACAAGAAAAAAAATGAGTTTTGTTAAATTGAAAGTTACATTGCATAAAACCATTTATAAATCCTTGCTATGAACTAATAAATTTATTGTTGTTTGTTTTCAGGAGTGAACGAGTAGTTTCAATGAAATTAATTTGGGATAAAGGGAACCCAGAATTTAAGAATAACTACAAGGCTAAAATATGTGCACTGCTGAATTCAGGTGGTGGAATTTTAGAATTGAAAAATATCAAAGGTGGTGCTGTGACATCTGAAATGTTCGATTCTTGGGCGCAAGGGTTTGAACAAAATATGGAAATGATGATAACTCCTGATAATCCAATGGAATATATAGATATCAAATGGACAAAAAAAAGTAAATCTATTTACGTCTTCGTCAGACCTGCTAAGAAGTGGATAACTATCTCAACAAATTGTTATCGAATGTACAACTCTCAGAGTAAACTAATGACTATAGATCAGTTAAAAAGTTTCCTACAGGGGAAAACTGAAGAAACATCTCTGGATGAATTGCCGCCGCTGCCAACTGAAGTCTTTCTCAATGAAAAACACTCGCTTCTACCACGAGAATCAAAACAGCTTCAGTTTAAGGAATTGATGGATAAGAAAAAGAAGAAAATCAATCAAAACGTATCAGAGCAGATCGGGAGAAATCTTTCTGCATTTGCCAACTTGGAAGGTGGACATTTGGTATATGGTGTTGCAGACAAAACAACTACAGTTGTTGGTGTTACCCATGAAAATATACGGAAGTTTCGCCAAATTGTGAATGAGGAGATTAAGAAAATGGAGTGGGGGCTTGATCCTGAAGAAGAAACACACTACAAAATTACTGAGATACCTGTCGTAGGTGTTAGCAGCAGTGTCATTGTAGTGTCTGTTGCTGGAATTCGAGGTAGTGGAGGTGTGTATCGAAGATGTCCCACCAGTTACCATATCCAAGACGGTGAAGTGCAAGCAGTAGATTTCGGGACCTGGAAGTGCAAAGTCCTTGGAGAAAATCAGAATCGACTTTCAGGTAAAGGTAACGTCAGGTTTAGTGACATGTTTAGTGATAAATGTGATAAAGATCTCATAAAAAGCAAACTCTTGCACGATGTTTGACTGTGATCCAATTCCATTCCACGTCAATAAAACATAGTTCTACCTTATAGCACCATGAAATAAAATACGAGATTTAAATTTGCTACTGTTGATTTTGATCAAATTTCACCAACTGGCAACTGTTATTGTCATCACAAGTTTGGAAAGCAAGCCTAGCTCGCTTACTTTTTAGCTCCGCTGTCGACTTTGTCGAGCGGAGCTTATCATATGAGTGATTGTCCGGCGTCGTCCGTGTCAATGTTTTACTTTTTCGACTTCTTCTTGAAAACTACAAGCCTGAATGCTTTGATACTTGGTGTATATGTACCTTGAGTAGACCTCTCTCAGATTTGTTCATTTCATGATCATATCTTCAATTCTCTAGTTTTGATGAATATTTTTGTCATTTTTGGTAAAAAGTGATATTTTTGACTTCTGGTTAAAAACCGCAAGTCCAATTGCTTTGATATTACATATATAGGTACTACATGTGGATCCCTCTCAGATTTGTTCATTTTGTAATGATATCTTTAGTTCTCTAATTTTGGTGAATATTTTTGTCATTTTTGGTAAAAAGTGATATTTTCGACTTCTTGTTAAAAACCGCAAGTCCAATTGCTTTGATATTACATTTATAGGTACTACATGTGGACCTCTCTCAGATTTGTTCATTTTGTAATGACATCTTCAATTCTCTAAATTTGGTGAATATTTTTGTCATTTTTGGTAAAAAGTAATATTTTCTTCTTGTTAAAAATCACAATCATTTATGGTGAAAAATGATATTTTTGAATTCTTGTTGAAAACAGCAAGTCCCGTTGCATTGATACTATGCATATTGTTCATTTTCTAATGATATCTTCTGTTCTTTAATTGCCATGTGCATCGCTAACAGCGGAGCTATCTCAGCCGACAGGCTGCTTGTTTCTAATATTCTTTAATATTTCTGGAAATGAAATCTAATTTTGGAGCCAAAAGTCAAAATTTTAGTCAAGTTTTAGTTTTCACTCAAAAAATTTGGCTATTTTTGTCCCAAACTTCTGGAGGACAGTGCAGACTATAAACTGGACTAAGTATTTTGTGAATGTTATGAAAAAAAGGAACTGGGGGTGAAAAGATTGAGGTTACTCAGTTCGTACTGTACTTGTTGTTCATGCTTCACCATCAAAATACATACACATTTCCTACAGTGAATGAAATTATATTAACAATTTTGAATTTAACAGGAATATATTTATTATTTTTCTTCAGTTGACTACTTGACCCAAAAAATGCAAAAACTGGACATTAATAATGCTGCCTCCAAACCTGTATATTGCCTGGAGAAACCAGTTGCAATGTTCAAAGGTGAGTTAGATGATTTCTTAAACAAAACTTTGCTCAACTTTAAAATGAGAAGTTTATTTTATTATGATATACTGTAAAATACTTTTTATTTTCACTTGGAAATAATTTTTGCTAATTTCGCTGAACGAATGATTCAGTGAAAATAAAAGCCAGCGAATATACGTTTTTTCCTTTATTTTACATTCAACTCGTCAGAAATCAGTGAAAATAAAACCCCAAAAAGTCTTTTCAGCGAAAGTTAATTCCAGCTATTTGACAGTAAAGCATTGAACTGCTTAGGCTACATAGTAATTCATGACTATTAACTTTTGGTGGGAAAACTGCATAATTTTCGAAAAATAAACTGAGCATTGAAGAAGAATTTAACAATTTTTACGATGATAACAGCTTATTGTCGAAACAAAATTTTTCCATTCATGCTAGCCTCAATAAACATTGTACTCTAGAATAGTTTTCAGTGACTACAGAAAACCAAAATTGTATTTTACTAATTTTAGGCGTCAGGAAATATAGAAATACCAAAAGGACTACCATTAGTGTCAATGACAAGAAGTTATCAAAAAGTGTTAGTGGGTTGAGGAGGAAACAACTTTTTTGTGGTATTTATAACTGCAATTTTAATTGAAAATTGATAAAAATACATAAAATTCAAGCAAATTGTGTTTTTTTTTCTTCAGACTTTAAAATATCACAGGAGATGTATATTTCTTTTGTTGAAAATGTGTTGTTCATGTCCATCATTTATGGATTTTGCACCATGGACAAAATCTTAAATATGACACCAGACTAAGAGACTAAGTCTCTCTCAGTTGGCCGCTCAGTGATGATTTTATGCGCCAATTCCCATAATAGTGTGGGTCATGTGTAAATAATATTTTTCTTTGGTTTCCATCACATGACCCATATCGGCGAAAATGGCGACAACTCAAACTTTTCCTTCACATTTCATGTGACATTAGTCATGCTCAGGGTGACTTTGCTCATACAATTGTGTATTAAACAATATTTCATTATGTAGTTTACCGTAATCGACTGCGTTAGCGCCCATGCCCGGGCAAGCGCCCACCCCCCACTTTTGCGCAATTTTTATATTTGGGGTCACATTCGGCAAAACGCCCACTCCTTCAAAATGCAACTAATTTAAAACTTGGTCTTGCGTAATGAATCTTGGTAATTGTTTTTATATGATACAGCGTAGATATCGACCGCTGTGAACATGTTGTGAATGCGTAGAACACGGTAACTGTGCGTAAACTACGCATCGACAATGACCTGTTAATACAAGTAAAATGCGGTAAATATTTCATGCCATCTTCAGTTACTAGTTTTTTTTGAAAAACCATGTCATTTATTTGCTGAAATCAATTCCAACAGATCTTACTTCGAAATCGATAATTCACTTCCGCATTGTGTTACCGGAAAGTCTTCAGGAATTTCCGAAGAATTGCGTCAGTACAACACAGCATTCTGATTGGTTAATAACCAACTTGACCCATTAGGTCAAAGGACGCTGCTGTAGGTCAAATCTGCAAATGCATCATGGCGGAAAGTGATTTTCATCGCGAGTTTGCGTACGATCCAACACCTTCTGGTGATACGTAATTAATATTATAATAAAATGTGCATATTTTTTGTGATCATTTCTGTTTCTTCATTGTGAAAATCAATTATCGTAATTTGATTTTCCCTCAAAGACGTACTCTGTCACTTGATGAATAACAATTTTCATTTGCACTCTTTTTCGAGGGGGGTGCTCGGGTAAGCGCCCACCCCTAAAAAATCATGATTTTTTGAGCTGAGGCCCCTGGGCGCTAACGCGGTCTAGTACGGTATATTTAAACAAAAAAATGTTAAAAATCCCAGCTATTATTGTTCTACTTTTTTTTATATCTATAGCAACATTGTTACTAGAAGAGGATTCTAACGGCAAGTTACCTATTCATCCTGCTGCTTTCTATGATAACCTAGACATGGGCTTGAAGCTCAAGATCAAGGAACTTCTTCAAACACAGAACGAGTTCAAAGGAACTTGTGTTTGTGTCCACTTTCTGTACAATGAGTTGGTCAAAGAATCCATTAACCCTGGTAACAGCTTAAGTCACCGAGCAGAAAATCGTATCTGTGATATTTTGCTGTGCTTGGTCAATAGAGGCATATTTCTAATTACTGTAGCTGAGAATGTAACTGAAGACACTAAAATATACAATCGGATGACTGCTCAAAAGCTGAAGGAAGTCTTGACAACAGTTGGAGGATGTACAGAGAAGTTCACTATTAACTACAGCACTGTCAGTGTCCGGGATCCAACAATCGAGCTACCTGTTATCAACAGTTTCTATCCAAGTGATTACCATTCTATCACGGTTTCTAAGTTTGAAGCCATCAGCCTTGCGTTAACTATTGTTCTGTTAGCAGTGCCGTCAACGTGCCTTTCATCGCAGGTTGGTTGCTGTTATCTGAACCTTTTGACGACAGAACAATTCAACATCATATACAACTGGTTTAACAAGGGTGGTATGCAACATGTCTGGGTGCGAGGACCTCCAGGTACTGGCAAGACCGTTGTGGCATTAGCTGTAGCACGAAAGCTTCATAATGAGTGTTATGTGAAATCTGGTCATTTTAGTAGTAAAGTACTATATGTTGCAGAGAATAGTGCACTTGTTAACAAACTAAGGTAAGTAATTTATTGAATTATATTGTCTCACATTTCAAATGAAATGTATTTTATAATCCTTTGTACATGATACGTAACATAAAATTCACTATGTTCAATTACCCACCATAGACTCCGGTCAGTCAAAATGACTATTTTGAACTGTAGGCATTAATCAGCCATTCTGCCAATGACAGAGAGATAAAATCTAGGTCAGGGGAAGCCCTGTGATCCCAAGATTTTTTTCCCTTACGCTACGAACCACGTGACCGAGGTAATGTAGCGACGCCACCTCACCTTGACCTTCACTCTTTCTTTATCTCCGCACCGACGGGGATGAAGTCTAGCGGCTCTGCCTGTAAGGCCTACCTTTTACTGTCCGGGTTTCTGGCTTGGGTTGCTACTGCGGCCGCGGTAGCCGACGCTGTGGCTGGTAGGATAAGTTTTTCATATTATTTTTACCCCCGTGTCGATATCCCCTTAGCCTGACAAGTTGGCGTAGGTGGCGCCCTGGACAGCTGCGATCCCCATCCCCACCATCAGTACATATTAATTACCTAATTTGCATAACTAATTAATTTTCAGCTTTTGATATTTCAACTAGTAATCATCACATTTCAATGAAACTTGGTACATAAATGTCATAGGACACTGCACAGACCTGATAGTTTTTAGGGTAATATCAGTACATATTAATTACCTAATTTACATAATTAATTAATTAATTAATTTTCAGCTTCTGCTATTTCAAGTAGTAATCATCACATTTCAATGAAACTTGGTACATAGTTACTTAAGGACTGTGCAGAGACCTGATTAGTTTTGGGATTAAATATTTGTGCATATTAATTAACTTATTAGCATAATTAGGTAATTTTTAGCTTTTCGCCTGATATCTCAAGTACTAATCATCATATTTCAATGATACTTGCTACATAGATCTTCTAGGACTATGCAGAGACCTGATTAGTTTTATGGTAAATAATTGTGGATATTAATTACCTAATTTGCATAATTAGTTAATTTTGTCCATGAATGTTCCACTGATATATAAAGAACCACCAATTGGATTTTTAATGAAACTTTTAAAGAGTACTCATCTCATTTCAATGAACCTAGGACTAAGCAGAGACCCAATTAGTTTTTGGTAAATATTTATGCTTATTAATCACCTAATTAACATAATTAATTAACACTGATATCTCAATTACTGATCATCATAAATGCTCTAGGACAATAGACAGGCCCAATTAATTTTGGGTTGAAATTTGTTCATATTAATTCATAGTTTTTTTGTTCTAATCACATTTCAATGAAACTTGGTACATAGATATTACATTACTATTAGTTTTACACTCAAATCTGTTCATATTAGTTACCTGATTTACATAATTAGTTTTCAGCTTTTCCATCAATATCTTAAATACAATTAATTTTGAATTAATTTTTAATGTGTCTTCAATACTCTCAGCACACAGGAGTTCTTTCTTAGCTTTCTTTGATTTACCAATGTATTTAGAAATGGATAGATGTAATGACAGCACCAGAGGCTCGCCGTCGGTTTTGTCTCCTCTTTTTTCGAGGCGACTGTGCAGTGGTTATAATCAGAATTTACCAGCATAGAACCCGCATCCAGGTAAAGGGGGACGGCCGCGTTCCATGGGCGTTCTCGCCAGCTCAGTCTGAGACGATCCATCACGCACTGAGGGCACTGGTGTGCATTATTTTGCATGCCCAGGACTCTGAGACCTTTGAGGCAGAACGCACCATCCTCCTAGACCAGGCGACACATTTACTGGTGGGCCACTGCACAGCTACGTGCGACATCCTCCAGTGTTACCTGGCTCTCCTGTCCGGGGTTACTACTGTGCAACGAGATGCGGTCTTAGACTTCTGTATTTTCGCCGACGAACTGAGTCAGGGAGTACGTCATCTCCTCAGTAACACAGACTGGACATCTTCCACCCTCTTTGATGGGGGGGGATGGCGGGTGCAGTCTTGGAGCTTCGGAGTACAATGAACTAGATGGTTCAGGTCGAATCCGCTAGCCAGTTGGCCACTGCCAAGGGTAAACGGAGGGTGCCCCAGGCACAGAAAACACAATGCCCTAAGACGTCAGCCAGGAGGCAAGCGCTCATACCATTCCAAGGGAGGGAAGAGCAGCGGCACGCCCCCAGGGAAGAAGGGACCAGGTGGTGGCTCCTCATCCTCCGGCAGCGGGCGAAGCATGTTTGACGCTTACCTCTGCGACCGGGGGGATAGGCATGTGTTCGGCGAGTGGCCAGGTCACAACTTAGTGACTACTCCAGGCCTTGGGGAAACTCCCCTAATGGGAGCACCCACACCTTGCAACTGCCGAACCCATGGCCACATATCTCTGTCGGACACAGATTGCGCCGGTGTAGTCCGGTTTGGAGACAGCGGGTGACTGACACACGGTTACAGGATACTGTAAAATGACTAATTTTCACTTGGTTTAAATTTCACTGATTTACCATTTCGGGCATATTCAGTGGGTTTTAAATTCACGGTTTCGTCATTTAGATAATGTGTTCTATGCTAAATTTTACATATTCACTGTG